TTTTATTTAAAAATATCATCTGTTGTTTTGTAATATGATATCCTATGGTTTTTATATAAGTTGCTGTATATTATTCTATACAATTGTCATAAAGACTTACAAAACGAATCAAACTACAAAGTAAAGGCTATTGTATCTACTATAAAAGTTACGTAAATGTGTTGCTTGATTGTACTTTAAATATTAAAAAAACATTTAAAAAAACAATCAACTGAATTACGTTATCCTTACTACACAATTATACATTACCTATCACTTGTATTCCTTAGTACTAAGACAAGTAAATGAATGGACAAGTAAACATGAAATTCGTTTCCCTTTATACCTCAGAGAATGGCGATCATTCTATATAATTTTATTGTCAATAAAATCAGCATTAATTTATCTATAAATCCTAACACTTAATTTCTATATAAAACTTCTAAAAAATAGAATATAATCGAAAGAAAAAACGACCAGAAAGGGGTGAATAATTTTAAAATAGGAAACTACAAAATCTCGTGCTGCCATCTCTTGAGAATAAAATGATTTAATTCATTTTATATCTTTTATTATACTTCTATTGTGTATCAATCCAATCCACTTTTCAACAAAGATAATACGTTTCTTAACAATAAAGAATGTAAAAAATTATTGTATAATAATAATGGATAACAATAAGAAAACAGACTTTTCGAATTTCTTAAAGGATAGAGGTTACACATTATCTAACAGCGTAGGAAGAGGATCCTTCGCTGATGTAAGATTAGCCTTCAGTTCTTTAAATAGGAAAAAAATTGCTGTTAAAATAATGTCCAGAGAGAAAGTTCCTAAAGAATTTCTCAATCGATTTTTACCTCGTGAAATCGAAATTGTAAAAAGAATTAAACATCGAAACATCGTTAGTTTCATCGAATGCGTGGATATGAATGACACAATATATATATTTATGGAATTTGTAGAAAATGGTACATTACTACAATTACTAGAAAAAAAAAGATTTATAGAGGAAGAAATGGCATGCAAATATTTTCATAACTTAATTGATGGCATAGCTTATCTCCATAAGAATGTAAGATACGTGTATTTATTGATAATTTATCTAATATATTTATATATTAATCACTTTATAACTTATTTAGGGAATTGTCCATCGTGACATCAAGTGTGAAAATTTATTAATTGATAGATTTAATATTATCAAAATTACCGATTTTGGATTTGCTCGCCATTCTTTACCAAATTATTTAATTGGAGAAAATGAAAATAAAGACAGAGATTTAATATTAAGTACTACCTTTTGTGGTAGCTTAGCATACGCTTCTCCAGAAATTTTAAAAGGTTTACCATACGAGCCTCATATGTCTGATATTTGGAGTGTGGGAATTGTATTATATGCTATGGTATGCGGGCGCTTACCATGCCAATCTGACGATTACAAAACTATACTTAAAGAGGTGACTACAAAAATTCATTTCCCAGTTAATCCTCTAATATCTAAATTATGTAAAGAATTAATTCGTGCAATACTTTCCCCTTTGGAATCGAGAATTTACATACCACAAATCATGGCGAATCAATGGTATAAATATCAATTTCCCTGTTTATCGAAGAAAATAACAAGAAAGAAAACTTTAATTTCTAAACATTCGAATGATCTACAAAATATGTGGCCAAATTTTAGAAATATATTAAAAAATTTTAATTTAAAATCACAACCGAAAGAGAAAAGTTTAGATATTTTAATTAAGAACAAAATGGAAATGGAAAATGTAGATCAAAATTTGATTTTTAAGAATTTAGAAGCTCTCGGAAAATATTTTCTAAGTAATGAATGCATCGATGATAAAATAAATGAAATTTTGGATGAAAATCATCCAAGAAATTCTACAGTTTCATCCATAAAAGATGATAAGTCACATTCGAAAAT